CCTCGGGCTCTCATGTGGTAAACCAAATCGATGGCGCCCTGGGTGGTGAGCCGATGCACGATGGCCTTGGGACCTCTGGGGGACAGGAAGATATCGTCGACCCAGGTGCTGATCTCCATGGGCCTGTATCGTGCATGTGCCGCGTATAGCATGTCATGTAGATACGCACGCGTCCAGCTCACACTCTGCGCGCACCCCTGGAGGATGGAGCGCTCGACCGAGATAAAGTCTCAAGCCTCGCGCCCTAAGATGAGGACCCTATCTGCGGTGTGCACACACATGCCCATGTACATGGTGTGTAGCGGGTAATCAAGTGCTTTGCCTAGGGTATATATCCAGAAGGAGCTGAGCGCGTCGAAAAACTTTTCCGCATCAAGGATCAGGACAGCCCAGTCGACCGAGATCCAGCTCGCTGCTTCGGCCTTGGCGCGCCTGAGGAGGGCCGCCTTCAAAGGGTCAGAACCTCGTGCGGCTGCATCCCAGAATCCTGCTTTCTGTTTCTCCCAGGCGGTGACAGCTTCTTTCCTGCGTCGGGGCCAGGTGCGGTACAACCCTTGGGTCCGAGTGATGGGTCTGACCCCCTTCCCCTGTGGGTTTGGGATGCATGCCAACTTCATTCAACAGGATCTGCTCTGGCCACGCGCAGGTGCGCTCGATGTCCTGCAAGAGACCGACTAATTCATCGTTTGCCTCCTCAGGCAGAGCGGCCCAGAGCTCGGGGTTCCACTGGTCGGCCCCCATGCCCATAGAACCCGGGAAGGCCTGGCACGCTGCCAAGACCTGCGGGGCTTGAAGTTCAGACAGTCCAGGTACCTGGGCCTGCGCTTCCTGCCGAAAAACTTGCCACCAGCTCTGCGTAGAGGGATGCCCTTGGCCTCCAGGGTCCTTCCAGAGTGTCTGCCACCGAGTCTGCTTGGTCTTCAGAGCCTCCGAGGGGTCCCATAGTGGGCCCCCTTCCGCGTCCAGCTCTTGGGCTGGCATGGCCTCTGGGTGGCCCCAGGTGGTGGTATGTCGATGAGCCCACGCGGCCCCCCCTCGGAGGCTCTGGGAGAGCCACTCCTGGAACCCAGCTTGTTTATCCCGATAAACTTCATGATCGGCACGGTCTCGGATAGCCTTACACTTCTTGGCCAAGTCTTTAATGCCGTCCTGGGACAGTTGGGGCATCTGCTGGGCCTGCATCTGGATGTCCTGAATGTCTGAGGTGATCTGGATGAAGTCCTCCTGAGATCCCTTGGGGACATGATGCTCCTGGATACTTCCGAGTTTGGCCTGGATGAGCTTCCCAACTTGTTGGCGTTTTGCCGTCTTCCCTGGGCTCTCCTCACCGATGCGGAGTCCATGAAAGTCCTGAAGCCGCGCAACCATACATTTCCAAAAGGCGAGCTTATGCGTGCCCCATGTTGTCCGCTTTGTTTGGCTGGTGGCATGGCAGGTCTCATCGTCAGGCCTGGAGAGCAGCCGCGGTGGTGCGCAAGGTCGCGCACGCCAACAAGCTTGGACTTGCGCAGCTCCTCAGCTGCACCTGAAAAAAGAGCATACCTGTCAGTGAGAGCTGGATCGGCACAGGGTTCGGCAGTGAAATACTCTGTTCGGGGCCGGCTTGGAAGTCGAGCACGAGCTTTCTCCAGGAAGACTTCCCGCGCCAGCGCAGGCCCTTGCACGTCCAGGGGAAGCGGTACTGGCTGAGTGAGGACTTGCATCTGCCATCCCCTGAAAGTTCCTGCCAAGCTGCCGCGAATGCCAAGATGTGGATGGGCCCGTGGCCCCTCTAGGTCATACTCCAAGGTGAGGTCAGGGACGAGGTGGGAGGAGACCAGTCCGAAGTCGATCACCCGCTTGCCGAACTCCCGAGAGGCCCCTTATGGAAGAAAAAAACAAACAACACTGGCGTCGAGGTGGTCCTCAATCCCAGACTCCCGAACCTCCGATACTTCCATATTCCAGTCGGCTAAGAGGATGAAGGGGACCCCAGTGGCCTGGATGTTGCCAACCATCTCCACTAGCATCTGCATGCTATCCCCCGAGAGGCCCTCCCCGCAAGCGAAGTAGGCGGAGAGGAAAAGGAGCGCGTGGCCACGCAGGCGGACCTCACGCGCGGACCACATGCCTTGCCCAGCAGCTGGCTGAGACCACTCCGCTCGTCGCAGTCGGATGGCCCTGGAGCTCAGGTGTGCGCCGACGGCGACCCATGCACCTCCGCGGCCGAGCCCCCCTTGCACCTGGGTCTCGTTGGCGGGCCTGGCATCCACCTTCTAGTGCGCCTTGCTGAGCTTCTTGAGCGCTGCATGCAACGGTGGCCCTCGTTGGTGAGTCTCTGCGCCAAGTTGAGCATGGTAACCTTCATCGTCGCGAATCTTATTCACGTAGTCGAGCCCAGTCTGGTTCCACTTGGTGTAGATGGCGAAGTAGAAACGCACTGCTGGAAGGTCATGTTTGCGATACCGCTTCATCTTGTCACGACTGGCCTTCACATGCTCCTGGGGTGCCTGGGCGCATGGCTTCACCTCCAGGGCCTCAGACGGACAGACTGCGCCAGGAAGAGGAGCGGCAGGCTGCTGCCCCTCTGCCTCATCAGTGGCGATGGGCACGATGTCGGACTCTGGGTCGCCATCGTAGCCAGCTGTCGCGAAGGCGTCTGTGTCCAACTCCAGCTGGTCGAAGGGGTCCCAGTCCCCGTCCATGCTGGTCCTTCTGTCGCTGCTGTTGTCCGTGTCCAGCTCAGTGCCCTTCTGCTTCTCGTCCTCCGTGTCCACTCGCCCGCGCTGAGTGTTATCGGCTGCCGTAGAAGGGGCACTTGTGCCGCCCCTGCCTGAGCCATCACTCTCGGCCAGCCTCGAAGGTGCAAGGCCGAGGCCCAGAGCATTAAAGTCCCCTGCCGACGAGGATCTGGCGAACATGGCTGACTCAGGCAGGTCGGCGTGGGCCCCCGCCGAAGCGGGGCATCCTCTGGGCGAAATAGACGATGGGGCCACCGAGGGAGAGAGGGTCCACTCCTGTGATGACTCTGCCGGTGACCCAGTCGACAAAGCTGCTGAGGAAGATGGAAGCCGTGGACGCAGTCGACAAGGAAAGCCCACCTGTTGTCGTCATCTGCGTCGCTCATGTCTCCAGCCCAGGGGCATGCACATCCCTGGCCATCTGGAGAGAGGTACAGGCAGCTGCTCCCCACCGTCGCCGCCGATGAGCTGCTGTTGGTTGTCGTAGTCCTGGTGCTTCATTCCCCACTGAATGTAGCTGGTCTTCTGGTTCTGGTGGCTGAGCCAGATCATGTGATCGGTAGTGTCGATCCCCTGGACACTGCACATCATTGGCATCAGCTTGGAAGCGATGGTAAGTGGGGCGCTCCGCGAAGCGCACCCGAGCCGCACCCTGCGGCCCTGGGCTACCCCCGCGTCTGGCTGGCGTCCCCTTTGCTGGCTACCTTGCCCGCCAGCACTGCAGCAGCGCGCTCCTTGGCTGTCTGGGCGGGCTGCTGTGGGGCGCCCACCTCACTGCCTGGGGCGGCGCTGCCAGGTGCTCCGCCTCCAGCGCTAGCGGCGCCAGCAGCGGCAGGCTCCGTTGTAGCGCCGCCACCGTTGCCCCCAGGAGGAGGAGCAGACTCCGCCCTAGGCCGCTTGGTCTTGAGGCGCCTCTTCTGCTCCTCGTGGGCTCTGCGGGTGGCATCGCACTTCTCTTTGGCCGATTTGAAGAGCTCAGCGGCAGCGGCCTGCATGGCGGTCTTGAGCTCCTCCTTGCGCTTCGCAATCTCGGCCTCGCCCTCGGTGCCCAGCTCGTACTCTTCTCCAAGGTCGAACATGTCCCCGCAGTCAATGAGGTCGTCGGCGCTGAGCTTGCCTTCGAGCAGGGACTGCAAGTCGAGCTTGGAGGGGTTGGCTTCCTTGGGGCCGAGCTTGGTGTGGCATTCTTCCTCCAAGACTGCCTTGTACTCAAGCTCCGCGGCCTCGAGGTCACCCACCAGCTTGCGAACGAGCTCAGCTTGATCAGTAGTCTGCTGCTGAAGCTTGGCCAGGAGGTCTGTGGCGTTAGTGAGCTTCCTCTCAATCGCCGAGGCCTTGCGCTGGGCGGCGGCGGCGCGCTGGTGGACGGGGCGGACCACGCTCGCCTTGGCCAGCTCCGCCGCGTATCTGTTGGCTGTGGCTGTGTCTCCCATCTGGGTGGCCACATCCACCAGCTTCTGGAGATCGGCTGCCGAGACCTGCGCCGCTGCGGTGCCTGCGCCCCGCCCGCGGCTGGCCGAGCGAGTCCACCTGTCGGTGCCACGCCCAGCTCCTGCGTCACTAGTCCACGGAGCTGGCGCTGGTTCTTCAGTACGTCCTTTGCGGCAGTGCTTGCACCAGGTCCAATGCATGAGGTTCTGCCCGCATCCACAGAGGCTGCACTTCCACCGATCGCCAGGGCGCCCATGGGACATGTGCCGCGGGCAACAGAGGCTGAAAGAGACTGCAGAGGGTCGAGAGGCGCGCTCCCCCGAGCGCTCAGTACCTGGGCCGCGGCAGCCAGGCCTATGGAAGGGGCTGCCCTTCCACCGCGACCTCGAGCCTCTGGAGTCGGGACCCACGGGAGGCTAGCTCCGTGAGACTTGAGCCAACATGGCTACGGAGTTCCTCCTCCTCCTCCTCCTCATCCTTCTCCTCCTCCTCCTCGTCCTCCTCCTCCTCCTCCTCCTCCCTCCTCCTCCTCCTCATCATCATCATCATCATCATCATCATCATCATCATCATCATCCGCCTCCTCCTCCTCCTCCTCCTCCTCTCCTCCTCCTCCTCATCATCCCCCTCCTCCTCCTCCTCCTCCTCCTCCTCCTCCCTCCTCCTCCTCCTCCTCCCTCCCCTCCTCCTCCTCCTCCTCCTCCTCCCTCCTCCTCCTCCTCCTCTCCTCCTCCTCCTCCTCCTCCTCCTCCTCCTCCTCCTCCTCCTCCTCCTCCTCCTCCTCCTCCTCTTCCTCTTCCTTTTCTTCCCCGCCGTTCCCAAGCTCCCCCCTGTTCGGGCCCGCCGCGCCGACACGCCCGCGCGCCCGCCGAGGCTGGCCGCCAGGCCGCCGACCAGCACGCGGAGAATGCCTTGAGATGGCCGGGTCATTGCCCTTGCCAATCCCCGTCGGGGCCCGCGGGTACCCGGGTGTTCGGGCCCCGGAGTTTGAGCCAAAGCGGCGGCGGATGACGGGGGGGGGGAGGGGCGGGCACGGGCCTGCATCCGCGCGCCCCGTCGTCTTTTCCTGCCTCGTCCTCCTCCCCCTGCTCGTCCTCGTCCTCGCCTTCCTCCCCTGCCTGCTCCTCCATCTGCTCACTGGGTTCACAGGGAAAGCATAAAACAAACTCCCCAGGCAACCCCTTGTGTAATTCTGGCCAGCGATCGGGCGAAAACCCCATTCCAAGTCATGCATGCAATTATCTGTCCCCCTCCCCCGTCATCACCCTCGTTTGCCCGTTCCTCCCCCTCACCATTCCTGCCGTTCCTTCCCCCTTTCCTCCCAGATATGCGACGTCCTGATGTTTTCACATGCTGTCCACGGAAGTCCCGACCCTTACCCCGGGACCAGCTGTTCCTCGTGAATCGTCTTTTGACAAACCCTGGGGCCCAGTGAAGGCCTGCAGGGGCCGAAAACGGCGAAAGAACTCCGTCTTGCAAAGGAGGACGAGGAGGAGGGGAAGGAGGAGGAGGAGGAGGAGGAGGAGGAGGAGGAGAAGGAGAGGAGGAGGAGGAGGAGGAGGAGGAGGAGGAGGAGGCGGAGGAGGAGAGGAGGAGGAGGAGGAGGAGGAGGAGGGGGAAGAGGAGGGGGGGAGGGGGAGGAGGAAAAGAGGAGGAGGAGGATTAGGAAACGAGGCAACAAATCTCACCGATGTGCAGCTGGCGCTATGGCAGAGAATTACCCCTAGCGGCGCGGTTTGCGCCGACTTTGCCGAAAGACGGTGGGGGCCTCATCGGGCCAGATGGCTTTTCCGCTTGTGGACGGAATCTCCCAACGCTGAATTTGATCGAAGGCCTCGTTACCCTCTGGGGTGGGGTGCCCCTTGCATGGTCCGACAAAGCCAGGTCCTAACCTCCCCCCAGCGGCCGTTTTGGACCCCAGGCACCCACACCTCCAACACAATATCTGGCCATACATAATGGCCGAACCATGAGACTCGCGGACCACCCCACCCCCGACCTTACAGTTGGGGGGGCGCACAGGACGGCCTTGAGACTCTACTCGATGGAACTGGGCCCCTGGGCACTTGTCCTGGCGAAGCCGATGGACCACAATCTGGCGCTGGCTACCTATCCAGGAGGAGCCTACCCTGGAGAGCTGGTGTCCCGAAGCTTTCTCGAACTCCCCCCTTACGCGCCAGGCTTTTCGCGCAGGGGCCTCACACGGGAAGCTCTTGCGCTCGATCTCGGAACTCGCAGCAGCAGCAGCAGCATTCACTATGGCCAGCCTTCTCTGGACGAGCCACGCTTTGAATTCCAACCTGGGGCGGTCTCTGATATCCGGCTCAATATCTGCTGAAATCTGCTCTGCTCCTGCCTAAGAGCACTTGTCGGCTAGATCATTTTCCCGGGTGACACGGGGGGGCTGGTCACTAGAGGCGAGGGAGGCGCGATCTAGGTGAGAACTACACTTACTGGGCATGACTCTGCGGCCTTGGGCATCAATGGCATCAGACCTGATCCTTCCCCGCAGCCCTTCCAGGGTTCCAGGGGCGCCCGAAAAACTTGCCAACCCTCGCAAACGATCTGACTGACGTTGCAGAGCCATGTGGGACCTCTAGTTAGCTTCAGGGCCCACCGGGGGGCCGCCAATTCCGCGAGCGGAACTGTTTGGGCCCCATCAATCCCCCCACGGGCTCCTGGACGATGGGGCATCATAGCTGTTTCTTTTACTCTCGGCGCAGACTGGGTAAAGTATACGCCCCAGCCTGCACGCGCTGCGCGCCCGTCGCTGCTCGAGACCGAGCCGCCCAGGAAGGCCAACTTGCAAAATGAGCGCTGCTGGTCGGTGACGGAGCCGTCGGGCAGCGCAGAGATGTCGCCGCAGCCCATGAAGCACGGATAGCAAGGTTCGCCCCATGCGGGCGGCGGAGGGACACAGTTCCACGTTCGTGGTACAGGGCCTCTCCCCAGAACTCAACGTTCTTCCCCCCGTTGGTGAGGTCACGTGCAGCTTCTTCTCGGGGTCGGCCACTTCGACGAATCCACGGGTGGTCTTTTGAACAGGTGCGCGAACAACTCCAACCTCGGCGAGCCATGGCCCCCTTCTCTCCAGCATGGCACTTGTGGCAAACTCCATCGCGCAAGTGGCCCGCGGCTTGACGCCTGGCCTCTGCCCAGATAGCGTTGCAACCATCTGCCTCAAGACCTTCAGCTTCTCAGTGGCACTCTGCACGTCGCATGCGTTGAAGAGTGCGCGCGACGGATGTGGCGCCAGGCAAGGAATTCCATGATTCTTCAACTTGGCCCTTGGCCGCTTGACTCCACAAATCTTGAAGTGCATCTGAAACCGCGGCGGCCATCATCTCGGTGGCGTCGTCCGACTGGGAATATGTAGAGCTGGCCGGTGACGCGCGCGTCGCAGATGAGGAAGGCTGCTGATTGAGGTCGGCCGTCGTTCGGGCATCTTCTCCAGCGACGCTGCGTTCCCCCGAGGCATCCAGAACAGACGCCAGATCTTCCGACGGCGTTTTGAGCGGGACAGTCCTGGCTGCGCCGTTGTTATGTTGCCACCTGGCGAGGAGGGACTGTCGGTCGCAGTCCTGGCCTGGCCTGGATTCCAGGGCGGCCCCCCGAGACGGGGCGGGCTGGACGGCCGGCCAAGCAATATAGGCGATAGCCTGTATCTGATAGGAGAAGACTGTCCCAACGACGCTCCGTTCTCGAAATCGCCCTCCACATCGTTGAACGGATCGCGCTCGCCATCCATGGTCGCGGCGCCGGCCTGGATCTCGGATTGAGGCCGGTGAGCAGGGGCATTTTGTGTTGAGGTCGAAGGTGATGCTGTGGCCGCTGCTGCTGTCTCCTGGGGCTCATTAGCCATTCGCCATACCGTGCCTCGCGAATCCGCCCACTGGTCTGGCTCACTGGGGCGCCAGCCCAGCTCGGGCAGGCCCTGGGTGAGCGCCGCCATGGGGCCCGCGACCGCGCTCCATCCTGCGAGCGAGTTGTCTTGGCATGCTGGCGCGCTTCCAGAGCTTGACCCATTCGGAAATCTGTCGCGCGAGTCCAACTGCCCCGGAGTGCTTTCCATAACGTGCAAGAACATGATGATATACGTGCTTCGCCCGCCTGTAGCGTAGCCCCACACGTCTGCTGCTTCGGCTCGCGCTCGCCACGCAGCTGCGGGAGGCGTGCCGACTGCTGGCACATCGTAATTGGACTTGGCTCGGGCGTTCACCATGTCGAGGGCGGCAAGCTTCCGCCATCTCTTGCCAGCCCCATTGAGAACTCGTGCTCTGCGAACTCGGACTCTTGCTGCTTCCTGCCCCGCTGCTGCCGCGGCCGTTCTCCGTCGGCGGCCTCTCGAGATGCCGACGCCCGAGTCTCTGACGTCAGGTGCCGCGTCGATTGCGGCTCCGACGTCTTGCGCTGCCTTGGCGACTGCCTTCTCGACGCTGGGAAGCGACGCCATCGCTGAGGACTTAGCAGACATCTCCAATACCCTGTCGATGCATCCTTGGACCAGAGGGGCTGCCACTGCGACGAGGTCGCGTTTGACTACTTGGCAATCTATATCTGCTCTCGCTGTGACGTCGCCAAAGTGCTGCCCGGGCAACGCTCGCGGCGCTTGGTAGCGGGCCATCTCCAGAACCGGGTAGAGAAATGCCCGAGCAGCATTGCTGGCGCTGTTGCGTCCTGGCGCGATTCTGCGGCTGGGGAGGATGGCGGGCGCAAAGGCCCCTGCTGCTCGCATTGCCCTTGGCGCGAAATAAGCAATGCAATTCATGTAGAACTCCGCTGCTGGAAATTCCAATGCCAAAGCTTTATCGATCAGGATCGGGATGCCAATTGAGTCGCATAACTTGTTGGTACCTAAGTAGATGGAGCCCCGTGCTTCGGCGCCGCCCCAGGCGCTGCTCTCGCCCATGGCCGCGCAGAAAGAAGCTGCCTGCACCGCTGGCGATTTGGCCACTGGTGCATCCCAAAAACCCGCCTTCTGACCGCTCCACGATGTCATGCCTGGCTGCCGAATCCTTCCCCAGAGCCAGAGATGGGCCCAATCGGGCATTCATCGCCAGCCTGCGCGCCGCTTCCTTTGCGGAGCAGCTCGTACCAAGCATGAAGCCATTGGCGTGGCCAAGCAAGTTCGGATTCACACTCTGAGAACACGGGGGCGGATTCTTGCTTGGTTGCTGGGGAAATGGCCTGGACGTGCTGGATCCTCCACATGTCGGAGCCTTTGCCTGACGAGTTCGGGGTGGTTCGCAGGGCTCATTCCAACTGATCTACTGGTATGGGCTCACGATCCTGCATGTCCTCAAGTGAACGATCTCGTGGCCGTCGCACTTGGTGGACACAACCTTCATGACCATCATGTTTGGTCCATCTCGCCTCCCACTGCCTAGCTCGCGCCTCTACTGCGCTCTGTGGGTTGGCAGTGACTTCGCGGCCGTCAGGATCCAGGCAAACTTCTGGAAGCACGAGAAATTCGAGCCTCGCGAGGTAGCGGTGAGCGTCTCGCGCGTTGCCGCCCATCGCCTTCTTGGCCCACTTGCGGATGCTGATATTTGCCTTCTGCCGCGCCCCCTTGCCACGGCGCTCTGCTCGCTGGCTGACCCGCAGAAGTGCATCGCGCCAAAGCGGGCGATGGGTGTCCAGCCCTGTCCTGTTAAGAACGCCCATGGCCACGCATCGCCTCCTTCGTCTTGTCGCGCAAGCTGGGCGATCGAAGCCGGGGGCGCCGGGAACTCTAAGTCCTCGACGCGTTTGATCTGTTCGCGGGCGATTGCTCCGAGGGCCCCGCGGCGCGCTGAGCTGGGCGGCGCCCCCCAAGCGGCGAAGCAGAGATCCCAGCTCGATATATCTGTCATGCCGCGCTCGGTCTGGGCCCATATGGCGACGCGCGCGCCCGGGAACTGCAGGCGATCATCGGCGTCGAACTGCGCGTCTTCGGACGGTTTTGGCCTCGCCCTCTCTCCCGCGCAAGATGGCCTGTGAGTGGCATGCTGCTTGAGCCAACTTCATGCACTTGTCGCCCAGGTGCTGTCTTGCCTGCCGCGCGAGCTCAAACGCGACGCTCGATTGGTGAACTCGTCTGGTTCTGGAAGCTCGCGCGCTTCAGCTTGCTGGCGAACGCCCTGCCGCGCGTCGCCCTCCACCACAACCAACAGCCAACACCTGCTTGGTGCAGGTCGGGGAGAGGAGGCTGTCTATCTCCTGGCGCCCTGCCTGCAATGCCAACTGCTCATGGGATAGTTGGGCGGTGCCCGCGCTGATTTCCTGCTCCTCCATGTGCTCCGTGAGACGAGCGTGCTCCTCGCGATCTCGCTGCTTTCGCTCGAGGCCACTTTCCACGTGCACTGCGAGGTGCGGCGCTTGGTGAGGCTCAGCTCGAACTGGGCAAAATACCTCGAGTGCCGCTGGGCGTCTCGCTATCTTGATGAACTGGCCCACCCGAAGTCCCCACGTAAACTCGGCGCCTGTCGTGGCCCCTCCGAGGAAAGGCCGACAGGATGGAAGGCATAACACGTAATCCAACATCCGTCCCATTCCACTCGAACAACTAGCATCTACCCCTGCATGTGTAGCCGGTTGCGCCGAGAGCTTCTTGGCCCAGGGCGACCGCATACATTGTTCTGGCGTGACGTTCCAGTCGCCCACCGCTGCCCGTGGCGTGCTGGTGCCGGCCACGAGCTGGGCGAGCTGCGTCAACTTTCTGGCATTGGGGCCCGCTGTCCAGATGCACTGCAAAGAGAGCGATTCGAATGCCACCCGACAAGCCCCAACGCACCACCACGATGTCATTCAGCTCCTTCTCAAAGGTGCTAACCCCACAGGCGGTCGGTAGGTGTCCTGGGGTCTGAAGGTGGGAACGGCGCAGCCAACGTACTCCCCCATGAGTTCCGTCTGCAGAACGTCCAGTACGCGATGCTGCTGTCCATGTGCGCTGAGAGCGCCATCCATAAGGCTGAAGCCGCTGGGCTTCTTCAGGCTTTTGGCTGCCGCGAGGTGGTGCTCGACTAGGCCCACCATATAATACTTCGACTGCGTGATGAAGTGACGAACCAGCGACGTTGTATCGAGAGATACTCGCGACGGATATGCTGGCGTACTCCCCCCTCGTCGTTGCTCGCACCAAGAGTATTGGGCGGGTCCTGGGACTCGCATTCGGGGTCCTTGAATTTCGCACGAACACGTCTGAGGCTAAACCCGCGGCGGCGTAACAACCTCGATCTTGGCTCCCACAAGGGGTTTAGTGCGCTCGGGGATCTTCTGGGCCTGATCGGGGTACTGGTCCACGTGCTCGGGCTTCGCGACGTCGAAGCCACCTGGCGACACACCTTCAGCCTGAGCTGCAAACCCGCTGGATGAAGCAGCTCCTGCCGCATGAGTTGTACCTTGCACGGCTCCTCGGCGTCGTTTTGATTATTTGGCTTGGTCTGCAAGCTTGCGTGTTTTTTTGGCGGCCTCCTTCGTTGCCGTCGAAGCTCCCTTGGCCGCCTCGAGCATTTGCTGGGCTGCCACGATTGCTTCTCGAGTTTCCATGTATCGGCGTTTTTCTTCTCCAAGGAATTCCAAACTTCCGGGTGGAAGCTCTGAAAGCTCAGGGAAAGGTTTATATTGCTGGCTTTGCTGCTGCGCTGGAGGTCCCGTGTCGGCCTTTTCCCGACACGCATCCACTCTCAGCTGGGCTTCCTTCTCTGCGGTGCTGTTGTCCGCCAACTTTGCCAAGCTGTCCTTGCTCTTCTGCATTGCGCTGGTGTCTCGTCCTTAGTTTCTCTCCTGCCAGTGTAACCACGCGGAGCTCCTGAGCCGCTGCCTCCAACTCCTCCAAGGGCTTGGGCGCTGTGGCTGGCTTCGGGTCTGGCTGGCGCAAGTGAAGGCAGGCTTGCTCCAGCAAGGCCACTCAGATCGGCCAAGGCTGGTGTCCACTCGGCGCCACATTTGGCACAATTTACCCTCGCTGTGATGCGGTCGTTGCAGATCCAACTGCTGCCAAAAGGAGAACAAATGCTGCAAAGTGTATACTGTCTCCGGTGCCCGCCCAGGCGATACGTTTCGACCGTGAATGCGATCGTGCACGGCTGGCCGCACGTCCTCCTTCCTTCCCGGGCGGGAGCCTTCCTCCCATGATGTAGCTGTCGTCGTTGTCTGTTGCGATTTCCGCCGAACATTGCAGGTGCGCCCCTCAAGCCGCGGGCGCGCCTCGCGGCCTGCTGGACTGGGCAGGCGCGGACGCGCGGTACGCGCGCAGCTGTGGGTCCGCCAGAATGCACCCTGCAAACTGTTGGGCCCAGTTCGGTTGAGGAGGAGGAGGAGGAGGAGGAGGAGGAGGAGGAGGAGGAGGAGAAGGAGGAAAAGGAGTAGGAGGAGGAGGAGGAGGAGGAGGAGGAGGAGGAGGAGGATCGAGGCGGAGGAGGAGGAGGAGGGAGAGGGGAAGGAGTAGGGCGAAGGCCTACGGCCGAGGGCGCCGAAACCCGCGAACATGCGCGCGGGCCGCCCGGCCCGAGGCCGCGGCAGTAGTAACTGGGCACCGTGGCGACGGGCTGCAGAGCAGAGCCCTGCACCTGGCAGCGGGGAGCTGGGCGGGAACGTTCGGGGGGAGGAGGCAGAGGAGGAGGAGGAGGAGGAGGAGGAGGAGGAAGAGGAGGAGGAGGTGGAGGCGGAGGGGAGGAGGAGGAGGAGGAGGAGGAGGAGGAGGAAGAGGAGGAGGAGGAGGAGGAGGAGGACGACGACGAGGAGGGGAGGAGGAGGAGGACGAGGAGGAGGAGGAGGAGGAGGAGGAGGAGGAGGAAGAGGAGGAGGAGGAGGGGGAGGAGGGAGATGGGGGAGGAGAAGGAGGAGAAAGAAGAGGAGGGGGAGAGAGGGAGAAGGAGGGGGAGGACGAGGAGAAGAAAGACGATGAGGAGGAGGAGGTGGAGGAGGAGGAGGAAACGGAGGAGGACGAGGAAGAAGATGAGGAAGGGGAAGACGAGCAGGAGGAGGAGGAGGAGGAGGAGGAGGAGGAGGCGAAGGATGGGGATGAGGGAGGAGGAGGAGGAAGAGGAGGAGGAAGAGAAGGAGGAGGACTGATTGACGCGCCATGGCACGGCGGGATGCCCGAACCAGACTGAAACCACATGGCATTCAAAGGCGCATGCGACCCTTATCGGACACGAACGCTAACTAGCGACAGTATGTGTCTAGCTAGAGCCCGTATGGCTTGGGGGTCGCAGCTGGCTTGAAGAAAGGGAGGAGGAGGAATAATAATACAAAGTTTGCTGGCCATGTGGCGCACAGGCAGGCTGTCGTGGGCGGACACGTAAACGCGCGCGGCACGGTGCACGTGAGCAAACGCAGTCGTGTTGCGAGCAATCCGCCTCGGTCGCAGGTGGTCGCGAGTGAATCGCCACTGGTGTTCCTGCTGCCGCTTTGTGGCCCCAGCAACGCCGATGTGTCAAGGTTCGATCGAAAACAACGCGGTGGACGCCAACTTTTGACTGCAAGGGGGAGGCGAATCCCATCACAGACTTGTCAGTCTTTCAAATTGAGGAGGACCTTCGGGGCGCCTCACACAATGGGGTCGCCTGCGTGCCCGGCACTTGAAGGGTCTCCTTCTCCCGCGCAAGGCCCCGCGGACCCACGGCAAAAAGGCCGTCAAGAGGATCGCCCACGGGTTCCGCCGTGCGGCTTTGCAGGCAGAAATTCCCGCCCGGCTGAAATTTCTGGCACTTCTTGCTGCCGTGGATTGCGCCGCCCTCAGATGCGGGCCCCGTGGCTTCGACAAGCGGAAGATAAGCAGGAGGAAAAGGGGGGGAGGAGAGGGATAGGAGGAGGAGGAGGAGGAGGAGGAGGAGGAGGAGGAGGAGGAGGAGGAGGAGGCGGAGGATAATAATAACAATAGTAACAACGTGCGAAGTGGAAGCGCCCGAAGGAAGGAGACGAACGCAGGGGGAGCCGCGCGTCCTCCCACCTGCGGCGGCGAGGGCAGGAGCGAGAGCGGCGGGGCGCCGGGTGCGTCCTCTGCGCTCGGCGCCGGGTCGATGGCAGCGCCCAGCGCAGCCGATTCTATATCGCGCGGGGGGCTGGGAGCGACGGCGGAGGAGGAGGAGGGAAGGGATAGGAGGAGGAGCGCAGCGTAGAGGAGAGGTCCATCCGACCGACCACTGCGCTCAGCTCAACAGCTGAGCACACCACTCCACACTCGAGCGACTGGCTTCGCCAGCGACCAGAGCGGAGGAGAGAGAAGCAGGGGCAGCGGCCGCAGGAGGCGGGGCGGGCGGCGGGCGCCCGCCTATGTCGAACTTCACGTGCATGTGAACGGAGAGCGGTGTTTCAATCAGGGCCGCGGGAGGCGGCGCGCGAGAGTGAGGGTGAGTGGCAGCAGCAGGAGGATCAGCAGCGAGGGAAGGAGGGGCCACAGGGCGAGTGGAGAGGACGGAAGCGGCGCGGCAGCGGACAGCCACGCTTCGCACGACCGTGACATCGGGCGACGAGAAAATGGAGCCTCTCGGAGGCAGATGCTGAGAGTCAAAAGAAAGATAATTTGATTTTCCGAAGCGCTCACTCCTCATCGGCGAACAGCCGTTCTGGGTATGTGCAGAGACATCCACCGTCGATGTGACCAGACTCGAGGACAACGCGATCGTCGGGCAGGTGGAAATAGACCTCGGCGACGCAATACTCGGTGTCGGCTCAATCCTCGCCCAGGTGGCAATCAAGCTTGGCGCGGTATTCCTCGTGCACGGGCTTGGGACCAATTCCTCGCTCTTTACTCCATGTGCGCAAAGACAAAATTTTTCACCAACGTCCAGCGACAGTGGCGGCGACTGAGCCCGCCGCAACGGGCTCGAGGAGCACCCGTGCGCAGGACTTTGCGTTCTGCCAGATTTTCCACCAATGTCCAGCGACAGTGGCGGCATCTGAGCCTGCCGCAACGGGCTCGAGGAGCACCCGTGCGCAGGACTTTACGTTCTGCCAGATATTCCACCAACGTCCAGCGACAGTGGCGACGACTGAGCCTGCCGCAACGGGCTCGAGGAGCACCCGTGCACAGGACTCTGCGTTCTGCCAGGATCGATCCCACCAAAGTCGCTGAGAGGGCCAACGCGTTCAGGTGTGGCAACCATTGTCGAAGGTGTCGCGGGTGCGTTTTCGCGAAGGGCTCCATCGTCATCACTGTGCACTGTAGGCACCAGCCGCGGCGTAAGGCATGGTGACAAACCAGGGGTCAATCCTTCACTATCCACATCATCAGCGTCATCGTCACTATTCTGCCCAGCATCACGTTCAGCAGGATCGTCGGCCTCAGAAGTGGAGTGCTCGTCTGTGATCGAACGCAGGACAGGAATGCATGGGGACGGCGTCTTCCACTTCTTATCAAGCTGGTCTGTTGGCGACGCCATTCGTAGCGTTCTGGCGGCAACTAGGGCAGCAGAGTGCAGAGCAGAGGGAGAGACCCAGTCGCGATACCTGATGGTGTGATACGTAGTGTACGTGACCACAATCTCCTCCATTCTTTCAACACACGGCGCAGTCAAGCACAGTCGCTCATGCAGAAACGCAGGAAGCGAGCGTCCAAGAGCACGTCCCACGGCACGAATCAGGCGGTGACAACGAACGTAATGGCATCGTCTGTCTGTACATGTGCTGCAGCCGAAAATACAGCGCCGACGACCTGACGGGTAACTGATGCGATAACTTGTGAGCCACGCAGATGCCCATGTCTTAATCACGGGGAAGACCCAGCTCGTTGGAAGCAACTGCAGCAGCATCCGATTCGAACCCCACGGAACACGATGCAGGAAGGGTTCGTACATGTCAAAGTAGCGGGCGAGCCTGGTCTCAAAGATCGCGTGAAGCGGGTAGGGGGTCACGAACCGCTCGTAGAGCGCAGCTGTGGCAGCACGTTGGTACTTGAGCTTTCGCCCAGTGACTAGTAGCTCCGAGGAGATCGCCGTCGTGCAACAGCGCAGAACTTCCGAAGGATAGCCAGCTCGAGCAGAGCCCTCTTGCAGCCAAGAGTAAGTTTGCAGAATGGGTGGCAACTTCCAGTGTCGCCCGGCATCGCCGAGCCAATCCATCCGAGGTCGGCTGGCAGCGAATGAGGCGTCATCAAACCGCCCATTCATGATATCAGAGTTCCATGTTTGTGTGGCAAGTGAAATAGTAGAACGCATGTGAGAGTGCTCGCCGAACGTGATGGAGGCAGCTCGAGCAAGGGCAGCAGCGCACGAGTGTTGCACGAGCGGGATTTTGGGGCCTCCCCAAGCGACTAACTGGGCCCAGCCAGAGGCAGGCAGAGTACCCATGGGAACACGAAGCGTCTGAGCAAGCACTGAGCGCTCGAAAGCGGCCTTCCTGGGAGGCAAAGGGTAAAACTGGGCCAGGTAGGACAGGACGGGGAGAGCCCGCGATCGTTAGAGCACGCCATTGACCCCCAAAGGAGCTGAGCCTGAACCGAGAAGCCTGGCACGTAGCCTAAGTTTCATCATCGCCGCGTCCCAGTGCATCTGTATCGTGACATCTGGACCCAGGAGAACGCCGAGGTACATCAGGCGAGCAACGATCTCGAACGCCTGCCAGTCCGGTACCAACCGACAGAGAAGCTCACGAGTACTAGCGAGAAGGTCAGGGTCGAACGTCGCGTGCAACGGGGTGACCTTGCATTTACTGACCTTAAGGCAGAGCCCAGTGAGATGCCGCGTAGTTGTCATCACGCGGAAGAGCACCTGAAGACCCCGAGCCTCAAACAAGACAGCCCCAATATCGTCGGCACAGGCCCTCGCGAGGCCAAGTCCAGCATCTTCCAGGGAGTATCCCAGGTCAACCAGAAACGGGGCCGCGCTCAGAGCGTAAAGTGCCCCAGAGAGGCCGCGGCGCTGTATGATCCCAGACCTCAGCCAGTAAACTGAGTGGAGCAGGCCACTGTGGGCCACGACCCCTTCGATAGCAGAATACAGCCAGGCCAGGAAGTGCAGGACAAGCGCAGGCAAGCGCAGGTGGGCCAGGAAGAGCATCATAAACTCCTGGGGGAGGCTCGGGAAGGCCTGGTCGAAATCGAACGAGACCAGAAGCGGCAACCAAGTCGGAGCCATCGGATGGGCCCCAGCAGTATGACTGAAGCCATCTAACTCTAAGATGTTGTACCGAAGTTACGGCCCTGCACGAAGCCGCGCTGCGACTGAGGGACGACGGTGTTCACAACTCCTCTAAGTGATTGGTTCACGGCAGACGTCAGAATGTTCAAGTCGGTGTTGCGGAGCCCGAGGACCCTGATCCTATCGGCGGTTCTGATGCAGCCTCCTGAGGCCAAGTCTTCGCGCTCCGATCCCTCAGGCAAGTACGCCTGGAGGGTGGCGCTGGCCGCGTCGAAGAGGGACTGGCCACGCAAGATCCAGTCCACCATGAGGCATAACACCTCCAGGCAGCAATCGGCAGCCGCCCAGGCCGCATACGGTAGTCCGTCGACACCAGGGGCAGAGTGTCGGGCACGAGCAACAACATTTCGAATCGTAGCTTTCGACGGAGGAGGGACGTCGGGGAGCACAGGCGAAGGGCACTGTTGTTCGATATATTCATGAGCAGC